CAGCTGCTCTAGAGGAGAGAGCTGTGGCAGTCTACTTCTGTAAAGATTTTCAGCTTTGGAGACCCTGTGGGTTTCTCTTGAACAGACATACTTATCTGTACTATAGGGAGGCTATGAGTTGGAATTCACTCAGCAAAAATAGACTTGATTTTCATCATGTACGCGGTGGCTCAGGGGTGGAAAATACCCAGAGGGGCCACAGAAGAAAGGCCTGATAATCTTGTACCTGGGATGCCTTGAGTCAGAATTCACTCCTGGGCAATGTGGATTTTCTAAGTACTTATCACTGTTTAAACTGACAACAGAACAAACTCTAAAACACAATCTTATCTCAGTGTGGACCAAATGAGACCCTTTTGGGCAGGAACTGGCAACAGAGCACTGCAGTAAGTTTGGTTCACAGAGTACTTACTTAATTCATGCTCTCACTCAGAGTCCTCTTGCTGCCAGGCATTTAGGATGTTGTGATGCAGTTATGACCCTGTCAGAGGATCAGAGGCCACAAGAGAAAGGATGCAGTTCATGTGTCTGCTTTCCACACAACCAGCCAGCCATCTGTCCCTGTTCACTTCTGATCCCAGGACCTTGGTGCTGAGACAGAGGGTCCCTGCAAAGCGAGTTCTCGTGGTCTGGAGGCTGGTTGCCACAGCATTCGCTCAGCAGTGTCACTGTTGTTATGTGTCTTGGTTCTGAACTGTAGCACCTCCCCCTTGTTCCTGAGCCATCCTCACAATCTTTGCCATTTTTTACACATTGCTGCAGCCACTACAGTAACTTAGCTCCTTGAAGGTCTTCTTCTTTCACTGATAATCTGTTTTTCCAAACATGGCATCTTTTCCCAAAGATTGGCATCTCCTAACAGCATGGTCAAAATCAATGAGATGAAGTTTACCATTGTTGCCTCTAAGGAACATCCAATCATGACAATAATACCTAATCACATATCCCCTTTAAACAGTTCTCTCCTTCATCTGTTTCAGTGCAGTATACATTATTGAGCCCATCTTTCTCAGTCCCCCCCAACGCCAATGTCAGTGCTGTTTTACAACAGTGGCCCTATGTAGTATTTGTCCTTCTGTGACTGAGATATTTCACTCAACATAATGTCCTCCATGTCACCCATTTTGAATAATATTGCATGAGTTCCTTGTTTTTCAATGCAGCATAGTATTCCATTGTGTGAATATACCACAGCTTCTCTATGCATTCATTTGTTGATGGGCACTTAGGTTGTTTCCAACTCCTTGCTATTGTGAACAAAGCCACGATAAACATGGGTGTGCATGTATCTGCTTGGGTGGCAGTTCTGGTCTCTTTGGCGTATATTTATTCCCAGTAGTGGAATTGCGGGTCAAATGGATCCTCACTTCTTTTTTTTTTTTTTAACAAATGATCCTTTATTGAAATATTTTCATCTGTAGTTCCTTAACTAGCTGGGCATTCCACAGCACCACTGTTGATGTCTTCTATGATGTCATGAGGGTGACGGCCATCAACATTGCAGCCCACAGATTGGGCAGTTCCCAGGATCTCTTTAATAGTTTCAGAGAGTTCTCTGTCTAATGACTGGTGTCGTATCTGCCAGGCAATGCCAACAATCTCATCAAAAGTGATATTTTGATAGACATGCAGCAGCCATGGCTGTGCGCTACCCTGTGGCCGTGGGCCTCAACAAGGGCCACAAAGTCACCAAGAAGGTGAGCCAGCCGGGGCTCAGCCGCCGCCGCCGCGGGCGCCTCACCAAGCACACCAAGTTCGTGCGGGACATGATCTGGGAGGTGTGTGGTTTCGCGCCCTACGAGCGACGCGCCATGGAGCTGCTCAAGGTCTCCAAGGACAAGCAGGCCCTCAAGTTCATCAAGAAAAGGGTGGGGACAAACATCCACGCCAAGAGGAAGCGAGAAGAACTCAGCAACATCCTGGCCGCCATGAGGAAGGTGGCTGCCAAGAAGGACTGAGTGCGCCCTACTGTCCCCCCCCCCCCCCCCCCCCCCCCCCCCCCCCCCCCCCCCCCCCCCCCCCCCCCCCCCCCCCCCCCCCCCCCCCCCCCCCCCCCCCCCGAAGCCCATCTGATGTAATAAAGTGTAACCAACAGTCAAAAAAAAAAGTGCTATTTCCACTGTGCTTAATATTTTTCTGCTTCTTTCTGTCTCTGGGTGGTTCCTGTAGGGCTTTGATGATCAGGGCAGAGGCAGAAGACACTACTTCAATCTGGGCCTGTCTTTTCTGAATGGTCAGTTTCACGGTAATCCTTAGTCCTTTCAGTCACCGGTGGCCTTGGCAATGTCATCACCAATCTTTTTTGGAGACAGACCCAGGGAGCCAATCTTGGGGGCCAGAGAGGAAGTGGCACCAACTTCCCCACCAGTCCACCTCAGGTTGTTGTTGTTGTTGTTGTTATGTGCCGTCGAGTCGCTTGCGACTCATAGCGATCCTATGTACAACAGCCCTAAACTCCGCTCTGTCCTGTGCCAAT